GTGTTTCAGAAAGGCGGGGCATAGAGGAGAAACAATGTACAGTATGTGGAAAATAATGTTTTTTTTTTTTTTACCTTAAACCGCATAAACACATTTCATTACACCAAATACACAAAATAATGTTCTTTTAGCAACGTCATATGACCCCTTTAACTTCACTAAAATCATTACCAACAAAATCACTAAAATAACAATATACTTTTTTTTGTTTTGTTTCTGATAAGTGTATTTCTAGAGTTTGAATTTCTGATAAACTGGTTATTGCATCTTGTATTTATTAACTGAACTGTTCACTCTTAATAAGGAAAGATGAGGATTAACAACTGAATTTTGTCTTCTTTTTTTTGCCAATTAAAGAAACAGTATTTTAAGCAAAATTGCTCATATAAAAGAACATTACCACTGACATCAGTTAGATCAAACACAGACCATAAGATCATTTCCATCCCATTCTTATAGAAGACAGATTTGTTGATTTTCACTGTGTATCTGTTATTCATAGAGGACTAATACGGGGAGGAAAATTATGTTTGTAAATTAATTGAAATCTGAGAGTTTGATAGGTTATTTATAGTAAGACTTACTGTATATAATCACATTTTAGCCCATATTATATACTGCCAAATTTAATAAAGATAACCTGGGAAAATGTAAATCACATTTCATTAACATTTTGAAGAAATGATTTAAACCATTTTAATTAAAGACTTCCATTCAGACGGTCAAAATCAAACCCACCGTCAATGTAATCATTTACAGTCATGGACCTTAAAAGAAATCAACTTTAACCAAATAAAGCTGAGATTTGATTTATTGCCTTTATGTTCTGTTGAGAAACTGAGATGGAATAAGATGGATACATTTTTATAAATATTCAGTTTCAGTTAATACATTTCATAATTAAATCTCTCTGCAACCACAAATTTAATTTTGATCTGCAAATTCTTTATGAGTTTGAAATATTTAGAAGTTCTTTCCAATCGTGTAATTTAAAGACCAATATACTTGAGTTTATTTTTGATTGAGAATGTCACAAATGCTCAGTAGTTTATTAGGGCCCGAGCACTGTTTCTTATTATCATGAATTGAAATCATTTCACAGTTGCTCACATTTAGATATAAGACTAGATATAAAACTCAACTGCGTTGATAGCTTTAGACTTGTGTGTGCAAGTCATCCCTTCAATTCATCCTGTACCGTATTATATTTGTTTTCTAATGTAAATTATATGATTTTAGCGAAAAAGACTTTTATTTTGGTCTGGCGATGTGACGTCATAAGGCTACGCCGCGCTCCTGCGTCTGTGGTTCGGCTGAAGAAAGGTGTGTGTTTTTAATCATTTAAAGTGTTTAAATCAATACAACTCGTTTAGAGAATTGTAGATAAAACTGCGAAATGAATTCGTAACCAATGTAACACTGTAATACTTTATTTAGTTACATTTATGAAGGCTATTTTGTGTGTGTAAAGCGCATCCAGATACGAGTAACAGAAAAGGTGCGTCTCATTTCGCTCCCTGTATCGTGAATCAGTTTATCATAAACATGAATTCGGTCACTGACAACAAGTGAATGATGGAGAAACGGAGCTTTCGAAGCTCCGAGTCATATGAAT